AAGAGGAGGAGACATTCCAGGGACAACTACTGCTGGAAGTGCCACAAAGACGGGGTCGAGGCTGCCTGCAGCACTTGTGTCAGGTAATTATCAATTATTCCTCTTTAATCAGCTGTTCACTATTTTATCATTTTTTTTTTCACTCATCAAATTTTCCTCTTTATTATCTCCTTTGTTTCCACTAATTTATTATTATTCTCTATTTACATAATAATCCGTATAGGACTTGAATTGCAATAAAAAAAGACAAATTACTCTATCCCAGATCCTGGCACAGAAGATGCATCGGTGGTACAGCCCCATCCGCATCATCTGATTGGATCTGCGGAGAATGCGCGAGTATTCTGAAAGCAGAGAATCCCTCGACGAGATCCCCATCGATGTCGAACCTGACAGTCGATCAACTCTGCATGGTCCTGAAGCACATAATCCTGAAGATGAAGCAGATAACAGGTGCGGAGGAGTTTTCAAAGCCAGTGGACCTCGTGGACGTTCCAAATTACCTAGACTACATAATAAAACCGATGGACCTGACACTCCTGGAGGGTAATATCAAATCGAAGGAGTACGGTAGTCCAGACGCCTTCATGGCAGACGCCAAATGGATTCTCCACAATTGTCTAGTCTTCAACACAGAGGGTGGAAAGTATACAGACACATCAAAACTGACAACAGTAGCTAAACAGCTGATTAAACTGGCGAGAGAGGAGGTCTCAGAGCTAGAGTCGTGCCCCACGTGCTATGTCCGGGGTAGACACCTGCCAAGACCGAATTACACTTGGTTCATCGATGCCTGCAGCCCCCCACATCTCCTGGTGTGGGCGAAGCTCAAAGGATTTCCCTACTGGCCAGCAAAGGTCATGCCAAGATGGAATAATCAGGGATACGTCGACGTGAGATTTTTTGGTGAACACAATCGTGCCTGGGTATCTCCCAAGGATCTCTACCTCTACTCCAAGGATCCCCCAGCAGGCAGTGGACGATCCAAGAAGCACGAGATCGCTGATTGCCTCAGGGAGATCTCCATTCACATAAAACGACTGGGGGAGACCTTCGGTAGATTCGAGCATGCACCACACAAGACACAATTCAATCCCCACGATCCCCTCCAGATTAAAACACTTCTACCTGATTATGATCCACCGTTGCAGGTGGAGGATAGAATTCCCAGGAGGGTAATTGGTAAAGGAAAGAAACGTAAATGGGATTCACTGTCCGATAGTGTGAGTGAGGCTTATTTTTATTCTGACGCTGAGACACTAGCTGGGGATTTCAATGAGGATGATGAAGAGGACGATGATGATGATGGAAAGGAGTCACCGAGGAAGAGGAAGAGATCGCTGACACCAGGACTCCCTGAGGCACCGATCCCTGGGAAACGTTCTAGGCAGATTAAAGTGAGTAAACCTACACCCAGGAGAGGATCTGCGGGGAAGGGTATGAGGGGCGGGAGGAGGAGTGCTAATTTTGAGAGGGAAAGCAGGGGAAGGGGATCAGGGCATGGGAGGAGCACCAGGCAGGCGTCAGAGAGGATCAGCAGAAGGCCCAGGAGTACTGTCGGGGAGATGAAGAACGAGGAAGCTGGGAATAATGAAGAAATAGCGGGGAAAGTGGCGGAGAAGATGGAGAGGATGCAAAAGATCCCACAAATGGAAAAGATAGAGAAACTAGAGGAGAAGCAGGAGAAGCAGGGGTTGGAGAGGAAACATAGAAGGGCCAAGAAGAGTTTTCCTAATAAACCACCAGGGATTGGAGCTTCTACTGGGCAGAGACCGCAGGTGAAATCACCAGTGAAATTGGAGAAGAGTTTTGGTGTTCCAGCAGATGCTGGACCTCTTAGCTCGTTGATCAGCAAGGGTGCTGACACTCTGGCTAAGCAAATGGGTTTAATTATTGAGGAGAGTATCAAACAGGCCACTCAGGGGGAAGGACCTGTGGCTGGAATTGTTGGAGCTGATCGAGCTATTATTTTCGACATGAAGCTCAGGATGGAGAGGATCAAGTGGGAGCATCAACAGGAAATTGCTGAGTTGAAGCAGATTTCAGGTAGATTTCATTTGAATTCGATTTTTGGTATAATTCCATTATTTAAAATTGTTTAAACACCAAAAATAAAAGGGTAGAATTTCTGAGTTTTGAATTCCTTTTGGTTTT